GTACACACCTTTGCCGCGCGGGAAATGATGTTTGCATATGAGAGCAGGGATTTAAAGATGGATGTCGGATCTCACAGGCAGCTTTCACATGCACAGAAAACTCAAAACAGTCTTGTGTTTGCAGAAAGAAGCGGTGTTTTCCTTCACTTGATGACTTCTTAAATAAAAGAACAGAGCTGTCTGCACAAGCGCTTGCCGAATCTGGCTCATTATATTCGCTGACAATATTGTTTCCGGAGGCTTTGCCCTCCTCAGCTCTCACTTTCCTTCATGATGGGCGAATCAAAGGGGTTTCAGTGTATGGATGCAGAGACGGAGGTCCTCTTATGTCTGGCTTCCAGACAAACGGCCTCAAGAGCCGCTGTAATGAAGCCGCTGATGAGGAAGACGATGGCGATGGGATTGAAGAAAGTTGTAGAAAAGAGATTCGGCTAGTCAGTGGCCAGAATCTCGGATTCAAATGAGAGTCTAAATGCAGATCGAAAGCAAACAAAAAAAACATCTTATCTTATTAGTGATGGTTGCACGATTCTTTCAGGGGCGTAGCAGGTTTTGGGAGGGAAATGTTGTATTTTAAGAGTTTTGTTTGACTTGGCTGAAGTGGAAAGGAAATAATTGTAGCCGGAAGAGTAAAAAAAAAAAATATATATATATATATATATTATGTAGCAAAGCTTTAGCAGTGAACTAAATTAACTATACTGTGGCTTTTTTTGCTAGACTCTCATCAAATCAGTTAATAAATATTCATTACTAATAATACTGAAATTGTGTCTCTCTCACTTTTCAGATTGTTGCCAACTTCTGCCCCATGTTTAGGAATAAGATGAATGAAACTTGAATTTGTGTTTTTCACATCCACCAACAGGGAACGTATTTATATTCTTATATTTCATTTTATGTTACATTTTTTTGAAGGGTAAATGTCTCATGAAACATAGTTATCTATTATAACATTCGATTATCGTGCAAAAGTTAATTTCTTTCAGTAATTCAACTTAAAAGGTGAAACTAATATATTATATAAACTCATTACATGCAAAGTGAGATATTTCAAGCCTTTATTTGTTATAATTTTGATGATTATGGTTAATAGCTTATGAAAACCCCAAATTCAAAATTATAATATTGTGAAAAGCTTTTCAAAGCTGTAATCCATATTCATCAAAATTATAACACATAATGGCTTGAAATATCTCACTTTGCATGTAATGAGTCTATATAATATATTAGTTTCACCTTTTAAGTTTTGCACGATATTAGAATTTTTCAAGTTTCACCTGTTTTATTCTTTCTTCCTAAATACTTCATAAATAGTGTGATTGTAAGTAGTTGGATTTTAAATATAATCAGTTTACAAAAAAGTAATTATTTCCACCCCTTATAGACTTTATAACTGGATTTTATGTTCATTTTTGTGTGGCTGAATGTGTGAGGTTTTTTTTTTTATATATCAAGGTTATTCATGAAGACAATTTTAGACGAGATTTTTAGATTGTTTTATGTTTTTAATTTGGTAAATATTTGAGTTTGTGAGATGTGGTTGGCTGATTGTGTTTCAGGGCCCCGGAGACAGAGTTCCTGAGATTTCTTTGAGTGTACTGCTTTTCTTAAGCAATTAAAACGCCACATTATTTTCTCCCCTAAAGCACTTTTTTTTGTGTAGTTTCATATCAAGTCTGTTGTGCAATCTGTTTACAGCCTTCTAGGTTTTTTTTTTTTTTTTTTTAGGTTTAGTAAGTGAAACGGTTTGAGGTTCTTGTTGCACATTTGTGTTCTAGGTTTGTGTTCATCAGTTTGAGGAAGATGGGTTTAGATATCAGGCTTAAATTGTTATTCATGTTTGCAAGAATGAGAAGCAAATCTGATCTTTGGTCACAAGAAATGTGCTGTGTCACCGTAAACCTACGTGTCCTTGCGTGTTATTTTGAAGCCAGGGCATCTGATGGTCGACAGTGCCCTTATCAAGTACTGAAACTACTAATAACAACCTTTCCAAAAGTCAAGGGCATGTAAAAATGTTCAAACTTTCCTAGGACATTTTGATTTGCTTAGTGAATTTATAGGCGCTGACATTTTCCATGCTGTAACGGTCACCAGCCGAAGTGTCCTGAGAGACACCAGAGGGACTATTCCCAAACTACATTTCCCTAACTCTCTTCCTAGACTCATCAGCACATTGTTTTCACCTGTGTCTCATCTTCTTGTTTGCTCCCCCATATCCACAAGTTTCCTACGCCCCATGAGGCCTTGCGTCAAAAGTGGGCGAGACTTCCGGTTCAAAGTAAACAAAGCGCGACTTGACATGCTTGACACTCGTTCATTCAACAGTTGACAGTCATTCAAGTTATAGCGATCCAAACTAGCTAACGATGTGGGAACACAACCTCAACGAAATTTAAAAGGGTGAAATAACAGTACCTTTACCCTCCGCAGTAGTTGATTGGGAGTATTATTAACATTATTAATAATCAATACTCATCAAGGCATGGTGACAGACAGTTGTGCGAGCTGACAAACAATTAAAATAAAAAATACACACTTAGTCATTGTGCTTTGGAGTTTATTCAAAAATATAAATGAATGTGCTACTTGAATACATTAACTGGCACATTTGGTATTCTGTCAACACAGGCTTTGATCCTGAGTTTAGGTGTAACATCAGTAGCGAACAGCCAATCACATGCTGAGAGAGTTTATAGAATATTAAGAATTTAAACAAATGTACACAGGAAGATTCGTCGTCTTTTGGGAGGTGATGGAAACTACAGTCGTTGGCAGGATCAGAGACGGGCTCTGGCAGGATCACTCTGATTTCGTTTTCGGCTTATGTTCAAAACAATCACGTTTAAGCCACTGAACTAGTTTAGTCCAGTTATACATACAACCGCGAACAGCACATGTTGTCCCTGAGCTCCGTAACGACATCTCTCATAAAGATTTGCGTCTTTACATAGTAAAATAATTCTCCAAAAAACAGCTAGCCTGTTCGCTAACTAACACACAAAATACCATTGGAATGCTACTTCCGCCGCCTCACCGGAAGTTTCACCCACTTTATTTTTTACAGGAGCGCCCCTCGGAAACTTGTGGATAAGCCTGGTTCTTTCTGTCATTCCCTGCAAAGTCTTGTTTAGTTTTTATAATGCATCTCTGAGCGTGTTTCTCCATGTGTCCTGGTTACCTTGATTCTCGATTTCTCTCCTTGCCTCAGCCCTTTTCTGTTATTGACTGGGTTGCTTGTTTGTTTATTGCCCATTGCCTGGATTTGGATTACGTATTTGGATTGCCCAGTTCAATAAATACTGCGTTTGGATCCTCAAATGTCTTGTCTCAGAGCAGTACGTGACATAAATTTGAGGACTTTGAAGAAAGTAAAATTTTCTCTTTGGATCACAATCATAATCGATTCAGTAAGTATGTCAGACTTTTCAAACCCCACTTTATATATTTAATAACCGCCCAAATGTTTTGGATGTACGTGGTTGGTTATTCCACTCATAAAACAGTTAATCAGAGTTTAAGGCCTCAAGGCTTCACACCAGAATTTTAGATGCAAATCCAAGTTCATTTGACATTTAGTTCATTCATTTGATCTCAAAGCGGTTTTCAAAATGAAGGCTTGAATTCAAATTTGAGCCAAGCAACCAAACCAAGTGTCAAAACAACATTGGTGAAGATACACGGATGTAGAGGCCAGAACTCACCTTACCAAAGTTGACAGATTTATGACCTTTCCACCTTCTTACCTCCTCACAAGGTTGCAATGATCTTTACACGTACCGCAGAAAGCTGCATGTTTTATTTACACCCGTTCCTGAACACTGCCCCAGGTTTTATGGAGCTGTGAGAATACATAAATACTTTAACATCTTAAAGAGGACCTGTTATGCCTTTTACAGTCTTTTTTCTAGAACACATTTCCATATTCTCCATTATTGCGGCTCCTCTCTTCCTAGTCTGTCAGTAACGCTCGGTTTAGTTCCTGTCTCTATGAAGCCCCTCCTTCTGAAAAGCACACTGTGCTCTGATTGGTCGGCTGGAGCAGTGTGTTTTGATTGGTCGAGTGTTTGGGAAATGTCCCGCCCCTTACCATAACCGCCAGTTTAACACACTACTAACTAAAGGCCAATTTATACTTCTGCGTAGGGTGCGCGCAGTAGGTACGGCCTAGCATACGCACAGACGCGTCCCATACCGCGTACCCTTCGCCGTCGCCTGAAGCGCATCTCTTCAAAAATTTTGCTACACGTCGCGACGAGGTGGACCGCAAGATTGTTGATTGGTCGGCTTGGTAGCATTGCATTTCCTCCTACGCATTTCCGCACGTACCTTCTCACGCATTTCCACCACTGTCTATGATTTCCACACGTACAATCTCCTCCGACGTCTTCTCTCATTTCTGTCTTTCAGTTTTAGTAATTTCACTGTTTTTCCACCTCAATAAGCTCCAACTCCAACATTATCAGCTCTCTTTCAGTCGCTATTGCTTGTAGTAACCTAGCCGCGAGGAATCTAAACACAGTGGAACATTAAAAACCCAACGCCGCCAACTAGCGTTTCGGAGCAGTACTGCAGAGCAACCAAGACCTGAACGCAGAAGTATAAATGCTCACAACGGCGTGCGCAGCCAACGCCGTACACTACGGCGTACCCTCGACGCAGAAGTATAAATTGGCCTGAACTCAACCCCACCATTTTATTTTGTGTATTAATTATTTAAATGAGGAATATTGTGTGACATGTTCGTTCCCAGACTACAATTCAGGGAGTTCAGAAACACTAACACTGATATGGAGTATAAGTATAATCTCTTTCTGATATAGAGAGAAGTCAGCCATTTTCACCTGAAGATCCAGTTTAATTGAAATGCGCACAGATGAATTATACACAATAATATTTTTTTAGGAAATAGATATGGTGAGCTTTTATATCGTCGTAATATGTCATTTTATTGCCCAAGGAACTAAAAAAAAACACGATCCTTAACTGTTTTACAGGAAGTGCAGGGACTCCAGTGGTCTTCAACCAGAACGGAGATGCACCGGGACGATACGACATCTTCCAGTATCAGATCACCAACAAATCGACAGCTGAGTACAAAGTGATCGGCCAGTGGACAAACAAACTGCATCTTAACGTGAGTGAAGAGTCCTCATGGTGAAATCCATCCATGCATTCATGCATCTATCCAGTTTTTCCAGAGCGTAACGTTGCACACATGTTCAGATATGATACATTCAAGCATAAATGTTTGTTGCTGATGATGCATGTGACATGAATACTCCCGGGCCTTCATTAGTCAATGGGATGGAAGATAAGCTTGTAATGTCTGGCTGTGAAAGTAAATTAATGGAGCCCAAAACGAGTGGTGTTTTCATGGCCAGAAGCGGCCGCAGCAGTGGGGATGGTTGAAGCGTAGTTGTTCAAGAGGTGATGGAGAATCAAGGCTCCTCTGGGTGTGTGCCTCGAAATCTCACTTCTTAACTCGGGTATCAAACCCGCCCCTTAAGCTCTTAAACAGATCAGCGCTGGATGTGTGTCAGAGGATGATTTGCATTCAGCTCATACAGAAAAAAGACTTCGTTAGCCCGGAAAAATTGTGGCTCTTAACATTTACGGGAAATCATTTCAGCAATTTTACTGTTTACAATGTGTCCAACTGAAAGATGTGGGCCACTACTAATAGCAAACTTTGTCAGTTTAACGCGTTAATTTTTTTTATCGCGCGATTAACGGTCTTTTTGTCCTAGCTAACTTTGTAGTTTTTTCACATGCTTTTGCATGCGTCCTGATCCATTTCGGCGTCTCACGCTCGTCATCCACTCAAAGCCGGCTCGCAAGCCCGAAACGTGTGTTTGCGGCGTGCCTGTTTTTTTGTTTATGGTCTTGATCCGCTTGCGCTTTGGTCGAAGAAGCAACAAAACGTCCTCGCGCGGCGCAAGCCATTGAAATGAATGTGTTTCATAGCGCAGCGCGAGGACGTTTTGTGCCGCACACACTGGTTTCGGCTTGCGAGCCGGCCAAATAGTAACGTTACTTTTGAGTGGATGACGAGCGCGAGACGCCGAAATGGATGCCCTAAAATTCTGAATGGAAAGTTTACTTTTAAAAAGTTGCCATATTGTCCCATTGACAAGACCAAGTGATCTGTGTGTTTTGTCGTTGTGAACTGAGCGATCATCATCACAGCACGTCCAGTCTGAAATAACACTTGATGATGGCCAAGCAAACACACACACACACACACACACACACACACACACACACACAGATGATGTGAATTCTCCGCCCCCTCGCCAATATTAGGGCCTCGTCAGTATTTCTTTCACCCTTTTATTGATACACAGTGTTACATTGTGTGAGAGATTATTTATATATGTTAGTGTAACTATTCCAATGTTATTTTCAATAATAATTTTTTCCACTTTTCCACTTTTCCATATTGATAAGAGCATTAAAATGAGAAAAAAAAAATAACGTAACAAAATAAATTTTAAGAGACATGTAGAATAGATAAAAATGTGCGATTAATCGCGAGTTCACTATGACATTAATGCGATTAATCACGAATAAATATTTTAATCGTTTGACAGCACTAATAAATATATGCTTTCCACTCAGATGCAAAAGATGTGTAAAAGTAAAATAAATAAGTTAGATCACTTAGAGAAGTAACTGCATCTCACAAGTCACACAGTTTGAGGGATTTGATTTCTGTTGCACAAGTGATGGGGACGAGCCACGTTTAGCACATAAATGAGTAAAACTGGCGCATGTAAATGGTTAGCGCTGAGTCTGACTGCGTTTGGACCTCAAACACCCTTCTTGTTCCCCATTAGTGTGTCTTCAGGATGAATAAAACCAAATTAAACAGCTTAATTGTGAATGGTCAGTGTGGCTTTTGTTTCTGACAGAATGGGAAGAGTCAAATTAAAGGATTTGGTCTTTCAATTATTCTTAAATACCCTTCATACCCTTTTATGTGATAAGTCAAATTAAACTTCTGTTCATTTGCAAATTCTGTCTTTTTTCATTTTAATATGTCCGTTTTTTTTCTTCTCTAATTAAAGCCAATCTGTTTTTGCCAGGCGTAATTTGTCTCAGGCATGAATAATTCATTTACAGTCTCCTCTTTGCAGCAGCAACAGTGCGAACCACAGAGCAGAAGTAGCTATAAGCTATTTGATTGGTCTGGCAAAATCTTGCAATAAAATGTCTTATACTACGGGTCTGTTGAATCTGATTGGTTGACGGACATTCAAAGGCTAAAGTAGTTCCAGCAGGACTTGACCACATTACAGTTCTACATCACTTTGCCAAAATGACCAGTTATTTTAAAGGTCTTTACAACAGCAAAACCCACACTGTAAAAAAAATATTTTCAAGGTTTGTTATCACAACATATTTTGTTTTGTCAAATCAACTGTATAATAATTTATTTAGTTGAGATAACTTATTATTTTGAGTTTATGATGGTTAAATTAATCTACTTCATTGTATTAACTCACTTTTTTCAGTTAAATCAACTAAAAATTTTAAGGCAACCCAGGTTACTTACTTTTTTAAGTTAAACCAACAATATTTTTTTATAGTGCACAACGACACTGAGCAAGCAAATAAATAGTAAATAATGGGATAAAAACGACAAATCATTTCCATGTTTTTTGGTCCAAATTAAGTTTAGCAGTAAAAAAGCGTATCAACTTAAAAGCTACTTGACATTTCTCACTAGCGAGGTAATAATGGTGCTGTCCTTGAAGCCGATAAACTTACAGTTTCGCTACTGTAAAAAAAAATATTGATGGAAAAATATTGATGGTTTAACTTAAAAAAGTAAGTAAACTGGTTGCCTTAAAATTTTAAGTTGATTGAACTGGAAAAAGTGAGTTAATACAATGAAGGAGATTGATTT